CCAAACTGGAGTAGATCTCGCAGCATTAGAGAGTATAATCTGATGAAATCAGTAGATACTCACTCCTAATGCCTTATGTCACGACTTAGTAAAAATATATGGGAGAGCACTTTGTAAAGCAATCATAATGTCAAATGACAAAATATTGGCTTAAAGAGTAGTGGTGATAATCTGCAAAGCAGTAGATCTACACACTACCTTGTGATCCCAATACATCAATTTGAAGTAATCACTTTGAATTTTGCATCCATATTTGCAAGAAATTGAAATCTCAATTGCAAATAGACGTATTAATCTCGACATGTGGCGAACATGGAAATATATATATCATAGAAATATTCCGGAATACCTCGTACTCAACGAAGAAACAGTTTCTATATACCATATTGGTTCTTTAAAAATCTCTATTGCAAATGGACGTAATTAATCTCAACAGGTGATAAACGTGGAAATGTATTACATCAACTTAAGATCTGGAATACATCTTGGTACTCAATAGAAAAATACTAAATATAATGAATAATAATGATGTTGCAAACTTGATCCTCAAGTGAAAAACTTGAATTGTATAGATATCAAATTAAATGAGATCTTATATCAAATTGCAAGATAATTCATCAGAGTGAATTAATATTTTTCGAGAGAAAACTGATCTCGACCGCAATGAGATTTTTTTTGCGAGAAAAAGAAAATTTCTCAATCGCAAATGTTGTGCGAGAAAACTTAATCTCAATCACAAAACAATGTCATTGTACTAATGGAACATGTTATAGGAATTGCTAAAAAGCAAACACATTGAACATGCCACATACAATAACCATATATTTTCTGAAATGTTAAAACTCAAACAGAAAAATAGGCTATCATGCGTGAGAGAATTGTAGGCAGTCATTTGTGATTATAGGAAACACAAGGTCTGAAGTGAAAACTGCCGAAGAGATAAGGTTCTCTTTTTTTTCTCGTGCAGTCCCTGATAACCGCTACCGCCGGGAGACGCTCGCACTGTGCGCCGCCGTGCCATGCGCTAGCAGCGCCGCATCGCCAGCATATACGGAACCGCTCTGTCGACGCCGCAGAGGGTACCGCGCTGGAGGGCCAGGCCACGTCGCGCGCGCCTGAGGGCATCGCTATCTGGCCGTCCCATCTCCTTCACGGGAGGGGCCGTGGCCCCGAGCAGCCACGCCGGAGGGCGCCGCTCGTCGGGGAGTTGAAGCCCTACATCCGCGCCATGGTCCACTGCTCCGCGCCTCTCTACAGATCGAGGGTGCAGCGGCGTGTGCCATAAGCCGTGGTCGCGGGCACCGCCATGCGCAGGTTCCGTCGATTGGAGCCGCGCCGATGGGAGCGTCGTCGTGCCTAGCGTTGGAGGGACGAGATGCATCACCAGGCTGGGTGGCGCGCGCCGGAGGGCGCTGCCCCGCAGGGAGCCGCCTCCGACGTCGTGCGCCAAGGCGACGCCGACCGCTGCCGTTGGCAGTGGACTCGAGCACCAGGCATGGGGCCTCGCCCGGGTAAGACTTGCTTGATGGCTTCCTGTTCATGGGAAAGCAATTATTTTGTAGCCAGGAACGAAATTAGTAAAGTAGCAGCTTGTTTATTAGACGAAGACGCTGATGTTTGCGTGGTGCTTGACTCCGATTCAGTTCTTCTTCCCCTTTGGATTTTCCTCGCTCGAGTTGAAAATCACTGGAGTTGCTGGGGGGCGTCGTGGCATGGAGTCGAGGTGGAGGGCCGGTCGCAGGCACTGCCGTTGATGCGGGGCTGCGCGCCGCACCGGGATTGGTCATGGCCGTGGCCGCCCCCGAGTAAGGCGGGCCCCGCGCGTGGGAAGGGCCTCGCCGGGGGTAGCGACGGGATCACGGGACCAAGGGCATCGCTGTGGAGGACTGGCCGAGGCCTGCCGATCTGCGCCAGATGCAAGACGAGGGCCGCGTCGTCTGCCGGGGAGCGTCGCTGCTGCTCTTCGAGACGTCGCCGGCCTCGGTCTTCCCCGTTCTGTGTCGCCCCATGAGGCCGGTAGCCGCTCTGCCGAGAGCGTGCTGATAACGTGTGGTGAAAAGAAACGAGAGAGAGGGAGACAGAGAAGTAAAAGTGAATCGTTGTTTTCATTGATGATGGGATTACACATATATATAGCCCCGAAAGGGTGCGTCTGAACACGAGACAACCGCCTCGATTAGAAAAAAAGGAATTAATAGGATTAATTAAATCCTAACAGGATCTAGAGAAGTTGGTCGTCATGGTTTGTTTTGGGTCGGGCTGCTTCCCTAGGAGGCAAGTTTTGCCATGTTATTTTCTCTGTTTTGGGCCGGGCATTACTTGTCCCTCTGCTACTGGCACCGTGCTCACACCTTCTGCGTTCGTGGCATGCGTTTTGTATCACTTCTTGTTCTCACTCTTAACTTCTTCTATCAATGAAATGATACACAAAGCTTTGTGTATTCGTGAAAAAATTAAGATATTCCAGCTAGCTTGTGCGACCCACTAAATGGCTTGCCAACTTGCGGTTCCACTTCTATCACAGAAGCAAGATAACCATGACAAGCATGAGCACCTTGCGTGCACATTTCGAGCTACATTACGCAGCTTGTCACGTACCGTTCTCTGCGCTGCCGCTGCCTCGTTGGAGGACCCCCAAGTCGATCTTGCTTGAACGGAAAGGGCAAGGCACGGCACAACTCTCATCTCCACCATCATTGATCAATGATGGTCACCGTAAAAAGGTTTTCCTTTGCTGTGGCAAGGTGGACACATGTCCGAACTGAAAGTCGAATTAACGTGCGTGGCGACCTACTGTCCTGGTAAGTCGGTTGCCCATTTGCTGGCAAAAACTTTCACGGTAAACTTTGGTCTATCAATGCACTGGCCGATGCGTGCAATGCACGCTGTACTACCGGATGCACGTTACAAATAATGGGCTGTGAACTGTAACATACGGCACCGGTTTTTCTGGAAAGCACTGATCAATGGGGTGAAGGTCGGTACCTGCAGGGATCCTGGACCATGTGAAACGCTAAAACCGTGGAAAGTGATCACGCCTTTTTCAGTTCACCAAACCCTCCCGCATGCGTCTAGTGCCCTACTACCACTGCTCCTCATCAAAATGTGGCAAGCAACCCATGAATCCATGACGTTTTGCCCCAAGAAACAGGCAAAGAGAGCCCCAGCGAGGCAACGGCAGGAGATAGCTTGTCTTCCTTGCCATCGCATGCACTATATAGTACACTCTCTCGGGTCCTAGGCGTTTTGCCTGGCTAAGCGAGCTGCGACTGCGAGGCCAGAGTTATGTACGCAGTTGGCGCGGTGGTCGCCGTTGCGCTCATCGTGCTGACAGCGGCGTGCGCGTCGGCTGCGGCAGGAGACGGGCGGCGGGTGGAGGAGGGAGGAGGCGATGCGGCGCGAGGAGAGGTCACCTACGACGGCAGGGCCCTGGTCGTGGACGGCACGAGGAGGATGCTCTTCTCCGGGGAGATGCACTACACCAGAAGCACGCCCGAGGTAACCACTTCCTTCTGCATTCTGATGCCGTTTCTGCTCCGCGTTTTTGTTTACCTTCTTGATTGAGTTTTAGCAATCCACTTAGCGTAGAATCAATCACCGGTTCTGGTTTGCCCATCGAGCCACCACACCACCCTGTGCTAAACTGCCAATGCGACGCCTACTAATGCCATGCTCGGGCATATGATGTCCTATGGCTATGGGACGGTGTAACCAGTGAAAACACTTGTCCAAACGACGGCGTATACTCCGTAGCGTCTTCCGGCAACTGCCAAGGAAGAGCGGCTACCGGCGGGCGGCGGCTGCCATTGATTGGTGACCACCGCAAAGTGGGAGACTGATGAATGAATATCGGTTGTGGTAAATTCGTGCGGCGGTGCTCTGCTCTGCTCCACCCTCCTTGGTCACCACCTTATTCATTTCCAACACGAATGGCTTGCCACCTACATGCTCCAATGCATCAGCTCCGGGGGTACACGCACCCAGGAGCTGCGTCGCCGTCGCATATACGTAACTGATGCCGCATGCGGTTTCCATAATTCCATCTAGGCCGTTTCGAAAAAATAATCCCATCTAAATGAACTGAACGCGCAGGAAAGCACACGCTGTTTTGTGATTGCTGATGCGCGCCATGCACAGACACGCTGTTGGGTCCTTTTTATTTCATTGTTTTGGCTGATGCATTGGAGCATGTAGAGTTGTAGACGACGACGTCTCTTCGCTGCTCAAAACAGCTTTACTACGGACGCATCCCACCTAAATACGTCAGGTTTCTACAGAGTGGAGTGATTCCACACAGCTTGGTTTCTTCCTCTCCAATCTTGTAGAAGCTGTCGTTCTGAAAATTTGACCATCAATATCTTTATTATTGGAAAAATCGCCAAAAACCATATCTTTATTAAAAAATAATACTTGGATTGGATTCTTGAAAATCATGCAAGATCTTGTCTTGAAAAGTATTTTCTCAGTATATGATTTTATTTCATTTAAAAATAATGCGCCAATGTGACAGAAATTAATTGTCAAGATCACGTTTCGAAGATCATTCTCATGCCCAAAACAACAGATTCGAGAGGACCGAATAAAGCAATTTATATTTCACCTCAATTAATCCTGATCGTGTGGGATTTTCGCAGAAACTATACAGATCATGCATCCATTTCTTTGGAGTAGAATTATGAGCATGCATTAACTCAGTACGAGAGAAATCTATTGAAGAGATTTTACTCGTGCATGGGTATTTCTAGAGCAATTAAGGCTTCATTACCGATTTACTATACTCCAAATAAACAAGCAAAAAGACAAGACAAACTTTACTACCGGGCGTGCATTGCAGCCCATGGCCAGCACACGTTTCCTTTTTCAGCCACCTGCGCAAATACTTGCCAAGCATGCACATGTCGCCTCCATAAATATATATCGTAACCAAGTTGAGGAGAACCCTCAAGGAAACTTAGGAAAATTCGCCAACTATCAGCTAGCGACCGACAACATCGCGAGTCATGGCCCTCGCAATGGTGGTCGCCATGCTGATAGTGTGCGTGTGTACTACCGCGGTGGTGGGAGGCTGGCGGGGAGGGGAGGGAAAGGAGGTCAGGTATGATGGCAGGGCTTTGGTGCTGAATGGCACAAGGAGGGTTTTGTTCTCCGGGGAGATGCACTACACTAGAAGCACCCCTGAGGTAATTGTCCAGCAGGGCTTTGGTCGTTGGGTACATTTTGCAAAAGCTTTCACCCTCCTGATTTGATCATGGTGTAGTTTTTCAATGGTATAACGGGAGTCCAATTGTCTAGTTTCTTTTTACAGTACTTCGGTTGTCTAATTTTTATTTGACCCATATGGAGGTCACGAGGATTGCATAGCGAAACTCTTTTCAGTTTTTTAGGAAAAATCTCTTTTTTGTTTTGTTCAGAGAGGATCAGCTCTCGCCTGGGATCTGTCTCCTATAGAATTTGAACCCCTGGTGGGTTAAAAAAAGAATTTGAACTCCTTTTTTTTTAGAATTGAATTTGAACTCCTGGTGGATTTGCCTCCGTTGCACGCAGGTCAGTAGCCTAAGTACGACGGGCCTAAAGCCCAACTTGGTTCAGAGTTAGGACTTCATTTCATGGGCTCTTGTTCTCGTAGGCTTGCCTTTCTCGGCCCAATATGGCTTACATGGCCCAGCATAAAAACCACGAGGATCTTTGCCCATTGTCGGCCCTCACACACACACACACACAAAAAAAAAAAAAAAACCTTTGCCCGCCTTCCTGCCCCGCGCACGTCATCAGGAGTTCAGGACGATGGCACTTTTCTGAAAGAAGCTACTCTCGGTTAAAAATGGACCAATATTTTGGCAGCTAGAGAATCAAGATAGAGATACCCACAATTACCAAGTACCACATTCCATCCAACTATGACATACTGCAATATTTGTTTTACCTACCCCGGCTGTCATTTATCTACCTCTGACACCCTCAACAAAACACTACTCGCTTTATACAAGTATAATTCCCCTTGATAAAACAATATCAAACTTGCACAGCTAAAAGGCCACTGGTAAAAATTTGAGGCATACGTCATAGTCCAGGGGTACTAGGCAATAAATGGACCGCACAATTGCGCAAGTAGAGGGGAGGGAGGCAACTCTTCAAAGTAACTGTCAAGTAGAAAAAATGTCGATCCTCTTCTAGACATAAGACAAGGGTCAAATATTAGGCAACGTTTGAACTGAACTTCTATACTGCTTCCTAGCTTGGTGCAATTCTCTAATGAGCTACTTCTTCTGATTCATCACCAAATCAGTTTGTGCGTATTTCAATTGACAGATGTGGCCAAAACTCATAGCGAGCGCCAGGAAGGGTGGCCTCGATGTCATACAAACATATGTCTTTTGGAATGTTCACGAGCCTGTCCAGGGCCAGGTAGGTGTCTTTTCAATTCAAAATATGCATAGATTGTCTGTCAAAGGGAAAAATATTTAGTAAATGAGTCGTTTATTACTGATATATGTTTCACTTATATCATCGCACCAGTATAACTTTGAGGGAAGATACGATCTCGTGAAGTTCATCAGAGAAATTCAAGCTCAAGGGCTCTATGTAAGCCTCAGGATTGGACCCTTTATAGAGGCAGAATGGAAATACGGGTATGGATACATATTTTATATCTATATCTTTACTACTAATAGAGATACGGGTTAAGCTGGGATACCTTCATCTGAACTGTCCGCAGATGTTTATTCAATTTTATAAATCTGAATCCAATGGCTGTTTGCAGAACTGACTCACTCCTAATCACTTCTATGTTAACTGCCCCTTTATTACTCCAAGTTTCAGTATCGTTGCCTCATAGTTGCAAAAAAGATGCTTAATACCTTTTTCTGTGAAGAGAAAAATGTGCATTGCATGCATGCAGTTGCTACCATAGATGAGCATCTTCCCTTTTGAAATGTTGTACGGAATACAACTCTACGACTAAACTGTTTCATACAAGTGCACATACCTAAGTGGATAAAAAGTACTCCCTCCGTCCTAAAATGTAGGACGTTTTTTGACACTACACTAGTGTTAAAAAAGATCTTACATTATGGGACGGAGGAAGTAGTACCTGAACAAATGCTGGGTATCTTGTGTTCATGCAGAGGGTTTCCATTTTGGCTACATGATGTTCCAAACATCACCTTCCGAACAGACAATGAACCCTTCAAGGTAAATAATCTTTCAGATGGCATTCTAAGAATCTGTAACATGAAAAACTCTGAACTGTGACTGGTGATTTCAGAGTTTTTGTTTTGCAGAATCCTACAGAAGCACTACTAACATGATTTCAGTCTGGTTATCTTTAACATGGTAAATTATATGTTTTTGTCCACGCAGCAACATATGCAACGATTTGTCACACAGATAGTAAACATGATGAAAAAGGAAGGGCTGTATTACCCACAAGGAGGCCCAATCATCATTTCCCAGGTTAGGAAAATTAACTTGAATTAGTGGTTGTGTTAAGTTCTTCATTATGTAACTAAATAAGTTGAAACACAGATTGAGAATGAGTACCAGATGGTTGAGCCTGCATTTGGCTCAGGTGGCCCACGTTATGTCCGTTGGGCAGCTGAAATGGCTGTAGGTCTCCAGACAGGTGTTCCATGGATGATGTGCAAGCAAAACGATGCCCCAGACCCAATTGTTAGTTTCCATTATTACATTGTTTCACCTGATTGCACCTCATTAGCCAATAATTCCTATCAGTTTGACAGTAAGTTCATGACTAGATTAATACCTGCAACGGGCTCATCTGTGGAGAAACATTTGTAGGACCAAACTCACCTAGCAAGCCTGCATTGTGGACAGAGAATTGGACAACTCGGTATGTTGCAATCTCACAGCTCACTTGGTTTTGGACCTTCTCATTCTGATGGAAAGAAAAGTCTGATGGTCAATTCTTAATGTGTTCAGCTACCCTATATATGGTAATGATACAAAGTTGAGATCTACAGAAGATATTGCCTTTGCAGTTGCACTTTTCATAGCAAGAAAGAAAGGAAGCTTTGTGAGCTACTACATGGTACAGACTTCGTAAAAACACTTCAAAAGTTTCCCAGCATAATCAATTCTAAATTCTCTCTTGTTGGTTATGACACAGTACCATGGAGGAACAAACTTTGGTAGGTTTGCCTCTTCATATGTAACAACAAGTTACTATGATGGAGCTCCTCTAGATGAATACGGTAAATACTTCAACGAGAGTAAAGGCATAGTAGAAGGATTTAAATATAACAGTAACTAACAGACTTAGTTTTGCTGTATCCAGGTCTAATATGGCGACCTACATGGGGCCATCTCAAGGAACTGCATGCTGCAGTAAATCTATCTTCAGAACCATTACTGTTTGGAACGTACTCCAGTTTTTCATTAGGTCAAGAACAAGAGGTAAAATAACACAGCGCAAAACAATATCAGTTTATTCAATATATTCTAGCAACATAAGCATGATTTATGACGTACTCCAGGCACATATCTTCGAAACAGAATTGAAGTGTGTGGCTTTCTTGGTCAACTTTGATAAGCATCAGTCACCAACAGTAGTATTCCGTAATATGTCTTTCCAACTGGCACCCAAATCCATCAGTATTCTATCAGAGTGCAGGACAGTGGTATTTGAAACAGCCAAGGTATGTGACCCATTGACATATATTCCTTCAGGACCCAGGTGTTTTCATCACAGGCAAATGCCATAACCTCTTGTTATGATATTTCACTATTAATTTCTATCACAGGTAACTGCTCAGTATGGGTCAAGAACAGCCAAAGCATTAGAGTCTACTAACGATATTCATAGATGGAAGGCATTTAAAGAACCAATTCCTGAAGATATAAGCAAGGCTGCATACACTGGAAACCAACTCTTTGAACATCTCTCAATGACTAAAGATGAGACAGATTATCTCTGGTACATTGTCAGGTAAGAAAATTTCCTCAAAGGTGTTTTTGTTCATCATTTGTATTTACTTATTTAATTATTTTAAATCACCATGCTAACTGTATTTCTTAAATGCAGCTACGAATATAGACCAAGCGATGATGGCCAGCTTGTGCTTCTTAATGTTGAGTCACGAGCACATGTATTGCATGCCTTTGTCAACACTGAATACGTAGGTCAGTATCCTAGTAGATAAATTATGATTTTATCAAGCTTCATATATAATTTTGTGGAAAGCAACAACAAATGTACAATATTCATCATATACACTGTTCAGATTATGCTATCTTCTAAATCAATCTACAACTGATGAGTTATGTTATTGCTAATCGCACTTCACTCATGTCTATCAGGGAGTGTGCATGGGAGTCATGATGGACCTGGCAACATAATTCTCAACACGAATATTTCTCTAAAGGAGGGGGAGAACACAATATCATTGCTAAGTGTAATGGTTGGATCACCGGTATAGTTCCTATGAGCTGCCCCGGTAATATAATTTTTTTTATAAATAAAAGAAAGTAATAGAGGGGAACCACGATTTCCTAAAAAATGGGTCCTTTTATCACAATATGGTCCCGAACTGCCAATGTACCAGAAATATGCTTATTCTCTTGGTTGCGTAAAAGGAGCAAATGTGTTAAGCGTAGTTATACTGGAGCTTGAGTACAACAAATTTCAAGCATACATAGTTCTAAGAGTGTATCAACTAGCCATTTTATCATAATTGCACTCTTTTAATTGGAAGGACTCTGGTGCTCACATGGAAAGAAGAAGCTTTGGAATTCGCAAAGTGAGCATACAGCAAGGACAACAACCACTATATCTCCTCAACAACGAACTATGGGGGTACCAGGTAATTCCAAGTCAACTAATTGCTAATTTGGAACATGAGATAGAGATGAATATACAACTCTCGAATTTGATCTGACAGACTAATCGCAGGTTGGCTTATATGGAGAAGGGAAAAGAATCTACACGCAAGAAGAAGCAAGCAGTGTTGAATGGACAGAGATCAACAATTTGACATATCATCCACTTACTTGGTACAAGGTAGATAAAACCAACTAGCTCATCATCTTGTGCTAAATGCCCACTCTTTACAACAGTATACTATACATTGCACCATTTGTTGTGTGACCCAGACAACATTCGCCGCACCAGTGGGCAACGATGTGGTGGCACTGAACCTCACTAGTATGGGCAAGGGAGAAGTATGGGTCAACGGGGAGAGCATTGGACGGTACTGGGTCTCCTTTAAGGCCCCAAGTGGACAGCCCTCTCAATCCCTGTAAGCCTAGCTAGCTCCAACTCTCAGCCTCCTTTCTCAAACTCTCATCTCCCCTGTGACCAACCATACACGCAATATCTCACTGACATTGCATTTCTGAACTATGAAGGTATCACATTCCACAGCACTTCCTGAAACCTATAGACAACCTCCTTGTTCTTGTTGAGGAAATCGGAGGCAATCCGCTGGAGATAACGTTGAACACAGTGTCCATCACAACAGTGTGTGGCAATGTGAATGAGCTTTCGTCGCCGGCTCTCCATACGCAAGGAAAGGGTCCGGAAGTACATTTACGGTGCCAAAGGGGAAAACACATCTCAGCAATTGAGTTTGCGAGTTATGGGAATCCTGCAGGCGACTGCACAACATTTTCAACTGGAAGTTGCCATGCCACGCTGTCTGAATCCGTTGTAAAACAGGTAATATCTATAACCAATATGATGAACTAATGTTACAATCTGCTCCCTTATTAACAACATCCAACTATTTATTCTGTTCTTTCAGGCTTGCATAGGTAAAAGGGGTTGCTCTATTCCGGTATCTCCTGCCAGGTTTGGTGGTGATCCGTGCCCTGGGATCCAAAAATCCCTTCTAGTTGTTGCGAATTGCAGATGATACCATACATACACACATTAAAGGAAGTAAGGTTAATGGCCGCTAAATCAGCAGAAAGCAAGAATTGGACAGATTGAGGGTAGGTTATACAGATCCATTGCTTTAATCCAAACAATCCGATAGATGTATATGTAATTCACCCGAAACCAACAGATACATTATTTTTTTTCGCGAATACGCAAAAGGCTTGCGTATCATTGCATTGATAGGTAGAGAGAGATCATACAAGGTTTCTCAAGGATTACAAGGGGAGAGGCTAGCCAACATGTACACAGGGATGGCATGGTAGGATAGCCCAGGACGCAAGCAGAGGTGGTGCGACGGCCACCATCGCTAGCCGAATTCTATGTCTCCGGGATGATCTGCGCCAAGTGCGTGGCGCCCGCACGTGCCCATAGCCTTGCCTCATCTCTGATCTCGTTGACGGCGCGGCAAACTGAGGGTCGATCGCCGTCGAAGGTGCAGCCGTTGCGGTGCTTCCAGAGCCACCAGGCAGTGAGGATGGAGATGGAGGCGAGCCCGCGTCGAAGACAGCGCGGAGAGTCGGCGATGGCAGCGGCGAGCCAATCGGCAAACTCGTCGTCGCGGCTCGGGATCGTGGCTGTGGATCGACACCAGGAGAGTACCTCGTGCCAAACCTACCGGGAGAAGGAGCAGCCTGCGAGCAAGTGTTGCATGGTCTCGGGCTCTTGATCACAGAGCAGGCATTGGGGCTCGTGAGGCAGGCCGTGGCGCGCGAGGCGATCAGCCGTCCAGCAGCGGCCTAGCAGGGCAAGCCACATGAATAGCTTGATGCGAAGTGGACCCCAGGTACGCCAGGTGAGACGCCAGTGCAGGTCTTGAATGGATCCAGAGAACATGGCTTGGTAGCAGGAACTCGCGGAGTAGGAGCCGGAGCTAGTCCAGCGCCAGGAGAGCCTGTCTGCCTCGTCGGAGAGCGTCACAAGGCGCAGGCGACGCCAGAGGGTGATGTACTGTGTGGCCATCTCGATGCCCAGCGCCCCATGGATGTCCGCGATCCAGGCGCGCTCGTGCAACCCATCACGCACGGAAAGAGACTTGCGGCGCCGCTTGGAGACCTTGGCTGGACCAATGGCGCGATGTCGGAGATGCACTGGCCATCGAGCCAGTGATCCTCCCAGAACTTGCAGCTGCGCCCATCGCCAATGTGCCAGCAAGTGGAGGCCCGGAAGATAGCGTGAACCTCGAAGGAGTGGGAGATGTGTAGGTGCTGCCATGGGCGCGATGGGTCCGTCTTCTGTAGCCATAGCCATCGGGTGCGCAGAGCGACGCCCGCAAGGTGGAAGTCCGGCAGGCCAAGGCCGCCCAGGGCGACGGGACGGCAGACGCGGCGCCAGTTGACGAGGCAGTGGCCACTGCTAGCATCTTTGCGTCCGTGCCAAAGGAAGCAGCGGAGGAGGCGGTTGATCTGCTTGAGGACAGTCGGGTTGATGGCCAAGGCGAGCAGCGTGTGCACCGGCATTGCCGCGAGCACGTGGCGACAGAGCGCCAGGCGGTCACCACGCGACATCATAGATGCCCACCAGGGGGAGAGCCTACGCTCGAGCTTGATGATGATTGGTTGCAGCGCAGCGGTGCTGACCTTGCGGATGGAGAGCGGGAGGCCGAGGTATGTAGTGGGGATCTCTTTGATGGGGCATGCGAAGTGGGATGCGATGGCGAGACGTTCCTCAGGCGTGCACCGAATCGGGGAGGCCGCACACTTGTTGAAGTTGGTGTACATCCCAGACGCATTGCCGAAGAGGGTGAGCAGCCGGCGGACGGCCGAGAGGTCCTGCTTGTCAGGCCGGCAGAAGACGACCACGTCGTCGGCATAGAGCGAGATGCTTGAGGCCATGTGGCGCGAGGTAAGGCGTTGAAGCACGCCGCCGGCGACGGCGCGGCCGAGTAGGTTGTTGAGGGTGTCGATCACCAAGACGAATAGCATGGGGGAGAGGGGGTCCCCCTGCCGGAAACCACACATGTGGAGGATTGGCGGCCCTGGGGTGCCGTTGATGAGGATGCGCGTGCTCGCCGTGCCGAGGAGGATGCAAACCCATTCGCGCCATCACCGACCGAAGCCAAGGTGGCGGAGGGTGTCCAGCAGGAAGGCCCAGGAGACCGAGTCGAACGCGCGGGCAATGTCGAGCTTGAGCATGACGCGCGGCTGTTTGAGGTTGTGGAGTTGGCGCGCCGTTTGCTGGACGAGCAGGAAATTATCATGAATGCATCTGCCCGCGATGAACGCGCTTTGGTTGGCGGAGACCATGTCGCCGAGCCTGGGTGCAAGACGAAGAGAGAGCACTTTGGCGAAGAGCTTGGCGAACAGGTGGATCAGGCTTATGGGACGGAAATTCGCGAGCGTGGTGGCATCCGGTTTCTTCGGCAGCAAGGTGATAAGCGCCTCATTGAGCCGCTGGAAGCCACGACCGTTGAGGTTGTAGAGCTTGTTGAACGCATCGACGAAGTCCGCCTTGATCGTGGGCCAAGACGCGCAAAGGAACTCCGAGGTGAACCCGTCCGGTCCCGGCGCTCTCCCCATGGGCATGCACTTGATGGCCTCCCAAATTTCGTGCTTCGAGAACAGGGCGTCAAGTTGTTGCAAGTCGAACGTGCGCGGGTCAAGGCTGTCCAGGTCGATGGAGGAGAGCCTCTCCCGGGCGGAGCCGAGGATGTCAGAAAAGTGTGCGTGCGCGGCCTCCGCGATGGCAGCCTGCCCGGAGATGGTGGCGTCGCCCACCTTGAGCTGCAGGACCGTGTTCTTCTTGGAGCGCTGCGCTGCGTGGAGACGGAAGAAGGCCGGGTTTGTGTCGCCGCCTTTGAGGTAGTTGAACCGCGCGCGTTGCCTGGCGATGGATCGATCGAGCGATGCGAGGCCGATGTAGGACGCCTTGAGTTGGCGGCGAAGCCACGTCTCGGCCGCCGAGAGCTGCCGGAAGTCTTGTGCTGCGTCGAACCGGGCGATGAGCTCACGGGCGACGGTGAGCTGGAGGGAAATGTTGCCGACAGTCTTGGCGCTCCAACGATGGAGGCACTTGGCGGTGGCCCGCAAGTGAGCATAGATGCGGCGAAAAGGATCCGGCTCGTCAGTAGCGGAGGCCCACGCCTCGGCGACGGCATCATGGTAGCCCTGAAGCTTAGGCCAGAACCTCTCAAAGTGGAACCGTCTATGTCCGGCAGAGCGCGGCAAAGAATCGAGGATGAGGGGTGCGTGATCGCTCGCCGCGGGGGATAGGCAACGCAACATACAGCTTGGGTGGTTGACCTCCCAACCCGCAGTGCAAAGGACCCTGTCGATGCGCTCGAGCGTCGGGGCGTCACGCTCGTTTGACCATGTGTATCTCTGGCCGTGGAGATAGATGTCACGGAGCTCCTCGTCGGCGATGAAGCGCCGGAAGCGTCGCATGGAAGCACGGTGTAGATTTCTGTTGTTCTTGTCGTCAGGGGATATGATCATGTTGAAGTCGCCCCCTAAGAGCCACGAGCCATTGCAAGTGGAGCGCGTGTCATGAAGATCGGCGAGGAACTCGATTTTGGCGGCCTCGTCGTTGGGTCCGTAGACGCCAGTGATCCACCAGTGCGGGCTACCATCTAGAGGGGAGACGAGAGTGTTGATGAAATGCGTGCCAATCGTGGGATGCGAGATGGACATGAGGTCTTCCTGCCATGCGAGGAGGATGCCGCCTCGGGTTTCCGTGGACGGGAGAAAGTGGAAGCTGCGGAAGGCCTGCCCACAAGCTTCGGTGACAATGGACGACGAGACGGTAGAAAGCTTCGTTTCTTGCAAGCATACAATTGAGGGGGTGGCCGAGGAAATAACGGAGTGCACGACCGAACGTTTAGCAGGGCCTTCATTTCGGAATCGAAGCCGTGATCGGCCTTGGCGATGCGTGTTGGGGAACGTTGCAGAAAACAAAAATTTTCCTACGGTTTCACCAAGATCCATCTAAGAGTTGATCTAGCAACGAGTGATTGGATTGCATCTACATCCTTTGTAGATCACACGCGGAAGTCGTACTCGACGTGATCCAAATCACCGGAGATCCTAGCGCCGAACAGACGACACCTCCGCGTTCAACACACGTACGGTCAGCGTGACGTCTCCTCCTTCTTGATCCAGCAAGGGGGAAGGAGAGGTTGATGAAGATCCAGCAGCACGACGGCGTGGTGGTGGATGCAGGGGTCACCGCAGCAGGGCTTCGCTGTTCTACTACGAGAGGGAGAGGTGTTGCAGGGGAGAGGGAGGCGCCAAGACTCAAAGGTGTGGCTGCCCCCTCCCTCCCCCTTTATATAGGCCCCCTAGGGGGTGCGCCGGCCCTAGGAGATGGGATCTCCTAGGGGGGGCCAAGGGGTGGAATGCCCCCCAAGCCAGGTGGGGCGCCCCCCCACCCTAGGGTTCCCAACCCTAGGCGCATGGGGTGGGCCAAGGGGGGCGCACCAGCCCACTATGGGCTGGTTCCCCTCCCCACTTTGGCCCATGGGGCCCTCTGGGATGGGTGGCCCCACCCGATGGACCCCCGGGACCCTTCCGGTGGTCCCGGTACAATACCGGTGACCCCCGAAACTCTCCCGATGGCCGAAACTTCACTTCCTATATATAATTCTTCACCTCCGGACCATTCCGGAACTCCTCGTGACGTCTAGGATCTCATCTGGGACTCCGAACAACTTTTGGGTTACTGCATATTCATATCTCTACAACCCTAGCGTCACCGAACCTTAAGTGTGTAGACCCTACGGGTTCGGGAGACATGTAGACATGACCGAGATGGCTCTCCGGTCAATAACCAACAGCGGGATCTGGATACCCATGTTGGCTCCCACATGCTCCTCGATGATCTCATCGGATGAACCACGATGTCGAGGATTCAAGCAACCCCGTATACAATCCCCTTTGTCAATCGGTACGTTACTTGCCCGAGATTCGATCGTCGGTATCCCAATACCTCGTTCAATCTCGTTACCGGCAAGTCACTTTACTCGTACCATAATGCATGATC